AACCTTATCAAAATCTTATATCCACTTCTTTTTAAACTTTTTTCAAGGAGGCACCATCCAATCCATCCGTGGCAAAAAAATATGTTAGGAAAACTATGTCTCAATTTTAAACCATATATAAACTTTCATATAAACTAAGTTAAGAAAGAGGTGAGTGAGATTATTAGATTATCTTACACAAATTAATTCCAAAGATTTCATTAAATTATAATAGCATTTCGATTTAAGATTCTTTCTCTATAAAATTTCTTTACACTGGATAAAAATTTCCACATATTAAAATGGAGTGAAGTTAAGGATACGTGTTGTTTCATTATACACTACTATAGATAATGATTCCTTCGACTTCGTAAATTTTTATAATACACATTTCATTTATAAAAATCTTACTATATATCCTTATCTTATGCAAGTTGCTTTGGTTAACAGTACTATATTAATGTATAATATTAATTATTTAATAAAAGACCAGGTAGGTGAAAATTCAATTAATTATTATTTATTATATATCTTTAATTCAATGAAATCGTAGACTTTTTTTGAAGAGAGTTTCTCTTTTGGTTATCAACGGATATAATGAATGATTGACTGGTGGAAGGAAGCACATACAATATTTAAAAGCAATTACAATGAAAGCATATACCTATATACATGTATATATACATGTGTGAAAATTTATAGTACAAATCTATAATGAAAGTGAGTAGTACATATATGGTATATCGAAATCTTCATATTATGCATATGATTTCTTTTGTATTCCCTAGAAATAACCCCAAAAGAATTACTTTAATTAAAACTCTCAAGTGGATCAAAGTAAATCTGTTGAAATCAATTAAGCATATCACTTAAGATATGTGTAAGAAAATATTAATATATCTGATTTGATGAAAAATTATATTATAACTTATGAATTTCAGATACCTGATGATTTTACAGGATTTATTTAAGCGATCTTTTATGGGATCATTACTTAATTTGTGTTAATTAACTAATTAATATTAGTTTCATTTGATCATGATAAAAACTTTCTGAAAAATAAATTTAAAATAGATATACGTATATTTGTCAATTGTTTTACTTTGATTTTTATAATATGGTGGTTATCCCGTATAGATTTGCATTTTTAGGTCCTGATATTGCTAATTTGAGAAGACACTTGTTTTGGATTCTGCGACACCAAAAATTGTATGCTTTTCTGATACCATGATATTTACTATATTATAGTTGTCTACTGTTTTTATAAATATTTGATTAGAAAAAAAATTTCTTGGCTTTAAAATTCAATCCATCCGATGAAGAATAATGTAGGAGATGCAATTTCAAACTCACCAGTGATGAAATAATGAGTATACTAGTATTAATTCAGTTACGATTAACTCTAACCACAACAAAGCAATATTATTGTCTATTAACAAACTAGTCAATTTACCAGTTCCAGAACTCTAAAATCGAACACGTATAAAGTAGGTTACGAAGAACCTAGTATTATAGACTGTCAAACTAGTAAAAAATTTACATTGATTTTAATGTAATAGCAATACTACACGATTAAGTGATTACGAGTATGAAGTTTAAAATAAAGCTTTATAATCTTTACATATATTGCGTGAAAAGGGCACATTAACTACTGACGACATTGATGTGGAATGTAGAACAATATGAAGTCAAGAACTCTCTAGATATCTGAAGAAAAACTAAAATCAGATTGAGGTTTTAAAATATGTTAATCACAACAAGAAGAAGGTTTATTTAAGGATAAATAATAAATCATTTAGATCGAAAAGAATAATTATATAGTAATCAAAGTAGACATAAATTTAAAGAAACTGACTAGTAAAATTAAAAAATAAAAATTTTTGTTTTTTCTAAAAATTCTAGCGTTAACTTCAAAATTTCTTGTTGTATCAATCTTGGTCGTATTGGACACTAGGACACTTGGACATTAAAATGTAGCATCCAAATAATTATAACAATTAAGTTTGTTATATATATTATATTTCTGTTGATTTGAACACATCTCACATCATCACAAATTTTAAAAATAAGGTGAGTAGGAAATTATTTCAGAGTTGCGTGGTTAGTTGCGTACTCAATACGAGTACAACGGTTTAAATATATATATCAGATTTTTTATTATCAAAATCTATATCCACTTCTTTTTAAACTTTTTTCAAGGAGGCACCATTCTATCCATCCGTGCCAAAAGAATAGGAAAACTATACCTCAATTTTAAACCATATATAAACTTTCATATAAACTAAGTTAAGAAAGAGGTGAGTGAGATTATTAGATTATCTTACACAAATTAATTCCAAAGATTTCATTAAATTATAATAGCATTTCGATTTAAGATTCTTTCTCTATAAAATTTCTTTACACTGGATAAAAATTTCCACATATTATTAAAATGGAGTGAAGTTAAGGATACGTGTTGTTTCATCATTTATTATAATATTAGAAAGATTAACTAAAACGAAAACTATTAGAACTATTATGCTTTTAACCTTATCAAAATCTTATATCCACTTCTTTTTAAACTTTTTTCAAGGAGGCACCATCCAATCCATCCGTGGCAAAAAAATATGTTAGGAAAACTATGTCTCAATTTTAAACCATATATAAACTTTCATATAAACTAAGTTAAGAAAGAGGTGAGTGAGATTATTAGATTATCTTACACAAATTAATTCCAAAGATTTCATTAAATTATAATAGCATTTCGATTTAAGATTCTTTCTCTATAAAATTTCTTTACACTGGATAAAAATTTCCACATATTAAAATGGAGTGAAGTTAAGGATACGTGTTGTTTCATTATACACTACTATAGATAATGATTCCTTCGACTTCGTAAATTTTTATAATACACATTTCATTTATAAAAATCTTACTATATATCCTTATCTTATGCAAGTTGCTTTGGTTAACAGTACTATATTAATGTATAATATTAATTATTTAATAAAAGACCAGGTAGGTGAAAATTCAATTAATTATTATTTATTATATATCTTTAATTCAATGAAATCGTAGACTTTTTTTGAAGAGAGTTTCTCTTTTGGTTATCAACGGATATAATGAATGATTGACTGGTGGAAGGAAGCACATACAATATTTAAAAGCAATTACAATGAAAGCATATAAAAAAATTTATAGTACAAATCTATAATGAAAGTGAGTAGTACATATATGGTATATCGAAATCTTCATATTATGCATATGATTTCTTTTGTATTCCCTAGAAATAACCCCAAAAGAATTACTTTAATTAAAACTCTCAAGTGGATCAAAGTAAATCTGTTGAAATCAATTAAGCATATCACTTAAGATATGTGTAAGAAAATATTAATATATCTGATTTGATGAAAAATTATATTATAACTTATGAATTTCAGATACCTGATGATTTTACAGGATTTATTTAAGCGATCTTTTATGGGATCATTACTTAATTTGTGTTAATTAACTAATTAATATTAGTTTCATTTGATCATGATAAAAACTTTCTGAAAAATAAATTTAAAATAGATATACGTATATTTGTCAATTGTTTTACTTTGATTTTTATAATATGGTGGTTATCCCGTATAGATTTGCATTTTTAGGTCCTGATATTGCTAATTTGAGAAGACACTTGTTTTGGATTCTGCGACACCAAAAATTGTATGCTTTTCTGATACCATGATATTTACTATATTATAGTTGTCTACTGTTTTTATAAATATTTGATTAGAAAAAAAATTTCTTGGCCTTAAAATTCAATCCATCCGATGAAGAATAATGTAGGAGATGCAATTTCAAACTCACCAGTGATGAAATAATGAGTATACTAGTATTAATTCAGTTACGATTAACTCTAACCACAACAAAGCAATATTATTGTCTATTAACAAACTAGTCAATTTACCAGTTCCAGAACTCTAAAATCGAACACGTATAAAGTAGGTTACGAAGAACCTAGTATTATAGACTGTCAAACTAGTAAAAAATTTACATTGATTTTAATGTAATAGCAATACTACACGATTAAGTGATTACGAGTATGAAGTTTAAAATAAAGCTTTATAATCTTTACATATATTGCGTGAAAAGGGCACATTAACTACTGACGACATTGATGTGGAATGTAGAACAATATGAAGTCAAGAACTCTCTAGATATCTGAAGAAAAACTAAAATCAGATTGAGGTTTTAAAATATGTTAATCACAACAAGAAGAAGGTTTATTTAAGGATAAATAATAAATCATTTAGATCGAAAAGAATAATTATATAGTAATCAAAGTAGACATAAATTTAAAGAAACTGACTAGTAAAATTAAAAAATAAAAATTTTTGTTTTTTCTAAAAATTCTAGCGTTAACTTCAAAATTTCTTGTTGTATCAATCTTGGTCGTATTGGACACTAGGACACTTGGACATTAAAATGTAGCATCCAAATAATTATAACAATTAAGTTTGTTATATATATTATATTTCTGTTGATTTGAACACATCTCACATCATCACAAATTTTAAAAATAAGGTGAGTAGGAAATTATTTCAGAGTTGCGTGGTTAGTTGCGTACTCAATACGAGTACAACGGTTTAAATATATATATCAGATTTTTTATTATCAAAATCTATATCCACTTCTTTTTAAACTTTTTTCAAGGAGGCACCATTCTATCCATCCGTGCCAAAAGAATAGGAAAACTATACCTCAATTTTAAACCATATATAAACTTTCATATAAACTAAGTTAAGAAAGAGGTGAGTGAGATTATTAGATTATCTTACACAAATTAATTCCAAAGATTTCATTAAATTATAATAGCATTTCGATTTAAGATTCTTTCTCTATAAAATTTCTTTACACTGGATAAAAATTTCCACATATTATTAAAATGGAGTGAAGTTAAGGATACGTGTTGTTTCATCATTTATTATAATATTAGAAAGATTAACTAAAACGAAAACTATTAGAACTATTATGCTTTTAACCTTATCAAAATCTTATATCCACTTCTTTTTAAACTTTTTTCAAGGAGGCACCATCCAATCCATCCGTGGCAAAAAAATATGTTAGGAAAACTATGTCTCAATTTTAAACCATATATAAACTTTCATATAAACTAAGTTAAGAAAGAGGTGAGTGAGATTATTAGATTATCTTACACAAATTAATTCCAAAGATTTCATTAAATTATAATAGCATTTCGATTTAAGATTCTTTCTCTATAAAATTTCTTTACACTGGATAAAAATTTCCACATATTAAAATGGAGTGAAGTTAAGGATACGTGTTGTTTCATTATACACTACTATAGATAATGATTCCTTCGACTTCGTAAATTTTTATAATACACATTTCATTTATAAAAATCTTACTATATATCCTTATCTTATGCAAGTTGCTTTGGTTAACAGTACTATATTAATGTATAATATTCATTATTTAATAAAAGACCAGGTAGGTGAAAATTCAATTAATTATTATTTATTATATATCTTTAATTCAATGAAATCGTAGACTTTTTTTGAAGAGAGTTTCTCTTTTGGTTATCAACGGATATAATGAATGATTGACTGGTGGAAGGAAGCACATACAATATTTAAAAGCAATTACAATGAAAGCATATATATACATGTATATATACATATATGAAAATTTATAGTACAAATCTATAATGAAAGTGAGTAGTACATATATGGTATATCGAAATCTTCATATTATGCATATGATTTCTTTTGTATTCCCTAGAAATAACCCCAAAAGAATTACTTTAATTAAAACTCTCAAGTGGATCAAAGTAAATCTGTTGAAATCAATTAAGCATATCACTTAAGATATGTGTAAGAAAATATTAATATATCTGATTTGATGAAAAATTATATTATAACTTATGAATTTCAGATACCTGATGATTTTACAGGATTTATTTAAGCGATCTTTTATGGGATCATTACTTAATTTGTGTTAATTAACTAATTAATATTAGTTTCATTTGATCATGATAAAAACTTTCTGAAAAATAAATTTAAAATAGATATACGTATATTTGTCAATTGTTTTACTTTGATTTTTATAATATGGTGGTTATCCCGTATAGATTTGCATTTTTAGGTCCTGATATTGCTAATTTGAGAAGACACTTGTTTTGGATTCTGCGACACCAAAAATTGTATGCTTTTCTGATACCATGATATTTACTATATTATAGTTGTCTACTGTTTTTATAAATATTTGATTAGAAAAAAAATTTCTTGGCCTTAAAATTCAATCCATCCGATGAAGAATAATGTAGGAGATGCAATTTCAAACTCACCAGTGATGAAATAATGAGTATACTAGTATTAATTCAGTTACGATTAACTCTAACCACAACAAAGCAATATTATTGTCTATTAACAAACTAGTCAATTTACCAGTTCCAGAACTCTAAAATCGAACACGTATAAAGTAGGTTACGAAGAACCTAGTATTATAGACTGTCAAACTAGTAAAAAATTTACAATGATTTTAATGTAATAGCAATACTACACGATTAAGTGATTACGAGTACGAAGTTTAAAATTAATCTTTATAATCTTTACATATATTGCGTGAAAAGGGCACATTAACTACCGACGACATTGATGTGGAATGTAGAACAATATGAAGTCAAGAACTCTCTAGATATCTGAAGAAAAACTAAAATCAGATTGAGGTTTTAAAATATGTTAATCACAACAAGAAGAAGGTTTATTTAAGGATAAATAATAAATCATTTAGATCGAAAAGAATAATTATATAGTAATCAAAGTAGACATAAATTTAAAGAAACTGACTAGTAAAATTAAAAAATAAAAATTTTTGTTTTTTCTAAAAATTCTAGCGTTAACTTCAAAATTTCTTGTTGTATCAATCTTGGTCGTATTGGACACTAGGACACTTGGACATTAAAATGTAGCATCCAAATAATTATAACAATTAAGTTTGTTATATATATTATATTTCTGTTGATTTGAACACATCTCACATCATCACAAATTTTAAAAATAAGGTGAGTAGGAAATTATTTCAGAGTTGCGTGGTTAGTTGCGTACTCAATACGAGTACAACGGTTTAAATATATATATCAGATTTTTTATTATCAAAATCTATATCCACTTCTTTTTAAACTTTTTTCAAGGAGGCACCATTCTATCCATCCGTGCCAAAAGAATAGGAAAACTATACCTCAATTTTAAACCATATATAAACTTTCATATAAACTAAGTTAAGAAAGAGGTGAGTGAGATTATTAGATTATCTTACACAAATTAATTCCAAAGATTTCATTAAATTATAATAGCATTTCGATTTAAGATTCTTTCTCTATAAAATTTCTTTACACTGGATAAAAATTTCCACATATTAAAATGGAGTGAAGTTAAGGATACGTGTTGTTTCATTATACACTACTATAGATAATGATTCCTTCGACTTCGTAAATTTTTATAATACACATTTCATTTATAAAAATCTTACTATATATCCTTATCTTATGCAAGTTGCTTTGGTTAACAGTACTATATTAATGTATAATATTAATTATTTAATAAAAGACCAGGTAGGTGAAAATTCAATTAATTATTATTTATTATATATCTTTAATTCAATGAAATCGTAGACTTTTTTTGAAGAGAGTTTCTCTTTTGGTTATCAACGGATATAATGAATGATTGACTGGTGGAAGGAAGCACATACAATATTTAAAAGCAATTACAATGAAAGCATATACCTATATACATGTATATATACATGTGTGAAAATTTATAGTACAAATCTATAATGAAAGTGAGTAGTACATATATGGTATATCGAAATCTTCATATTATGCATATGATTTCTTTTGTATTCCCTAGAAATAACCCCAAAAGAATTACTTTAATTAAAACTCTCAAGTGGATCAAAGTAAATCTGTTGAAATCAATTAAGCATATCACTTAAGATATGTGTAAGAAAATATTAATATATCTGATTTGATGAAAAATTATATTATAACTTATGAATTTCAGATACCTGATGATTTTACAGGATTTATTTAAGCGATCTTTTATGGGATCATTACTTAATTTGTGTTAATTAACTAATTAATATTAGTTTCATTTGATCATGATAAAAACTTTCTGAAAAATAAATTTAAAATAGATATACGTATATTTGTCAATTGTTTTACTTTGATTTTTATAATATGGTGGTTATCCCGTATAGATTTGCATTTTTAGGTCCTGATATTGCTAATTTGAGAAGACACTTGTTTTGGATTCTGCGACACCAAAAATTGTATGCTTTTCTGATACCATGATATTTACTATATTATAATTGTCTACTGTTTTTATAAATATTTGATTAGAAAAAAAATTTCTTGGCCTTAAAATTCAATCCATCCGATGAAGAATAATGTAGGAGATGCAATTTCAAACTCACCAGTGATGAAATAATGAGTATACTAGTATTAATTCAGTTACGATTAACTCTAACCACAACAAAGCAATATTATTGTCTATTAACAAACTAGTCAATTTACCAGTTCCAGAACTCTAAAATCGAACACGTATAAAGTAGGTTACGAAGAACCTAGTATTATAGACTGTCAAACTAGTAAAAAATTTACATTGATTTTAATGTAATAGCAATACTACACGATTAAGTGATTACGAGTATGAAGTTTAAAATAAAGCTTTATAATCTTTACATATATTGCGTGAAAAGGGCACATTAACTACTGACGACATTGATGTGGAATGTAGAACAATATGAAGTCAAGAACTCTCTAGATATCTGAAGAAAAACTAAAATCAGATTGAGGTTTTAAAATATGTTAATCACAACAAGAAGAAGGTTTATTTAAGGATAAATAATAAATCATTTAGATCGAAAAGAATAATTATATAGTAATCAAAGTAGACATAAATTTAAAGAAACTGACTAGTAAAATTAAAAAATAAAAATTTTTGTTTTTTCTAAAAATTCTAGCGTTAACTTCAAAATTTCTTGTTGTATCAATCTTGGTCGTATTGGACACTAGGACACTTGGACATTAAAATGTAGCATCCAAATAATTATAACAATTAAGTTTGTTATATATATTATATTTCTGTTGATTTGAACACATCTCACATCATCACAAATTTTAAAAATAAGGTGAGTAGGAAATTATTTCAGAGTTGCGTGGTTAGTTGCGTACTCAATACGAGTACAACGGTTTAAATATATATATCAGATTTTTTATTATAATATTAGAAAGACTAACTAAAACGAA